CCACCAGGCCCAGAGCCCCCAGAGCCCACAAGTCCGGTTTTACCCCAAGCGGGCTGCTCAGCTCCGCCCTCACGTCCCAGCGAGCTTCTCCTGGGTCCTGATGGGATTTGGAGTTCCAGCGTCTGGAGCGGGGGCGGGGCCCGTGAGACCTGCACCTGTTACACCCCCACAGCAGGAGCGGCGCGCGGGGGCCGGCTCTGGGGAGTGGGTTGAGAGGCACAGACCCCCGCTTTGGGTGGCCTCTGCCTGCCAAGCAGGGGCAAGCGCCCCCCACAGCCAGGGTGCGCTGGTCAGCGCTGGTCCCACCCCAGGCCAGAACCAAGGAGGGGCGACCGAGTCTGTAATAAAATTCGGGGAACTGTGAAGAGTCCTCATGGGATACAGGGGGACGATCCCTGCAGAAACGCTGGGGCTCTTCCCAGGCAGGTCCCCACCGCGTCAGGGGAGACGCCCGGCCGGCGGCACTCCACAGTGGCCTGTGTCCGTCAGCCCCTCACCCCCACCTCCCGCCGCGAAGCCGGGCCAGCATGGGGCTCGGGAGGGGCTGGGCCACAGGTGTGGCCCAGTTAGGTGGGCCGGCGAGGGCTCTCAGAGGATGGAGGCAAGGTGAGAGCCCACGGGGCCTGGGGTTTGGGGGACACGCTGCTGCGCGGGACCCAGGACTGAGCCCTGGAGCGGGTGGAGCCCCGGGCCCCTTGCTGGCCCCTGGCCACGCCCCTGGCCACAGCACCACTGCCACACGCTCCCCCGCAGCAGCCTGAGGCTCAGACCGGGCTTGCGGCCCGGCACAGCGCCGATGCGCCTGGAGCCTGCCCTGAGCCGGACCCCTGGGCGCTGCGATGTGGCCACCAGTCAGGCAAAGCCTGTTTTCCCGGGGAGCCCCGCCTGCTGGTGAGGGGCAGAGGGAAGGAAGGCAAACCGGCAGTCACCCCGCTTCTCTCGGCACTGTCCACGGGGGCTCATGGCGCAGAAGCCCTGTTCTCTGGACAGGCCAGTTGGCCATTGGCCCATGGGCACAGTCGGGGTGCAGCGCTGAGACGTGGGTGATCACCGGCTCCCCTCAGCTTCGGGTGACCCTAAGGTGGCCTGGGTACCCACCCCACGACCTCCATACCAGGGCCCTGCGCCGAGCCAAGGTCCCTCTTGGCATCAGGG